CTTTTTTAAAAAAAAGTTTAAACTCTGGAGCTCAATACTTGAGGTTGGACGAAGCAATCCGTCAACGGGTTTAGACAGACATCTAGTGGTCAACTGGAGCAACTACATGGAAAACTTTCATTTCCCGTCACAAATCAAATCCGTCATKTACCCAGAATGCATCGCTTCAGTTTTCCAATAAAAGTTTAAAAATTGCTTTGTGATGCTTCTTTAATGAAAAATCTACAACAAACAAAAGAAAAAGACAAAGAAGCAGCTGAACTAGCAATCCTCAACAACTTTTTAAGAAATCAGCCGAACTAGCAATCCTCAACAACTTTTTAATTTTTACACCAGGATGTAAGTTCAGGGAAATTTGATTCAGCAAAACAAACCAGGAAGCAGCTTCTTCCTTGAGCTGGGGTCTCCATTCCTTTCCTCCAAGCCAGAAGCTATTAGAGCTGCACAATGTTGTGAAAACCTGTAATAACAGTGCTTAATATTGAGATGACGATGTAACTTGCGATAAATGAACAGATACATATAGTGTTGATGTCTTTCTGCTCTGGGTTCAGAGAAAAAAAACTAATCATTTTCATTCCAGCAATGTGAAAAGATATATTCAATTGGTCAAATACAGGAAGGGCTCCAATACTTCAAGCTTCTGTCTGAGTGACAAAATGTTTTGAGCCGACCTTTTATTCCAGTTTTTGCGATACACCTATTGCACAGGCTGCTTAAACAGGAAATACACAACAGTCAGTGGACACACAAACTCTAAGACCTGTAAACAAACTTTCTCATCTCCTAAAAGAAAATATCTCAAATGGGGGCAGATTTATGACTTTTTCCTAATTCTGAGAAAAAAAGTCAGAATTCTGAGATTAAAGTCAGATTTATGACTTTTTCCTAATTCTGAGAAAAAAGTCAGATTACTGAGATTAAAGTCAGATTTATGACTTTTTCCCAATTCTGAGAAAAAAGTTAGAATTCTGAGATTAAAGTCAGATTTATGACTTTTTCCTAATTCTGAGAAAAAAAAGTCAGAATTCTGAGATTAAAGTCAGATTCATGACTTTTTCCTAATTCTGAGAAAAAGTCAGATTACTGAGATTAAACTCAGAATTCTTTTTCCTAATTTCTTTGAAAAAGTCAGAATTCTGACCTTTTTTCTCCGAGTTATGAGAATAACATCAGAATTCTTTTCCCCCCAGTGGCCCTAATCCTCTTTGCCAGACCCTTTATGATTATAAAATGCATAGCCTTTTAGGTTAAAGTGAATCAAAGATTTAAAAAAAGGATATGGAAATGGACATAACCATAATAACATATGAAAAGTAAACAAACTCAGATTAACTGAGTACCTCACCTAAGGGCTCTCAGTTGTGATGCCACGCCTACTGGAGTCACGACAGAAACGATTGGTCAGAAAATAACCTGCTGACACGAGATTTTATTCTCCACCTCACCTCTGACTTCACACATTAAACAGACTTAACAACACACGCTCACTCTAAAACTAACAAAAAAAATGAAGACTTTGTTTAAAAATTAAACCACAATTTAGATAATCTTTAATCGAAATCAACTTCATTCAAAACTTTAATCAAACACAGCAAAGCTCCACGAAATCCTAAACATCCGCTCAGGTCCTCGTTCACTTCAGCCTCCTGAGAGCTTTACTGCAGCTGCGATTATCAAAACACAATCAGAAGCAGCACAGCAAGAATAAAAACTTCATATCAGCCCTCCTCATCTCCTCCTGGAAGCCTCAMACACTGCCACTCGAATGAAAATAAACATTTCACTGTCCCTAAAGTCTCTTATTGTCATTCCTAATCAATCCTCAGAATCATAAACAATCCCACAACTTTTTTTTTTTTTACTCAGCTCCAGCTGCTTATGCAGTTCCCAGAAGGCATTGCCTTTTAGACTCTTCCTCTCTGGCGGCAAAGACGCCGGGAAAACAAATAACGACGGAAGGYGGGGGAAAAAACAAAACAAAGTCTCCTGAAATACCTTGCGGATGCCCAGAGGAAGGACGCCGGACGGACAGATGAGCAGATAGGTTCCCTCTGTCCTCCTCTCTCGGGCTGCCTCCTCGCTCGGCGTGCTGTTGGAGAGTGACTGCTCGCAGCCCGCCTGGCATATCTAATTAGAGCCGGGCTCGTTGCCGCTATCGGGCAGAGGATCTACCTCTCCGATCTCTCCTGACTCAATCTTCCCCATCTCTGATTTTCTTTTATATTTATGCTGGAATATTTAATTGTAGACAAAAGGTTACTCTGGGCTCTATTCATCGCACGCAGGCAGAATAATCTCCTTTAAAAGGCTTGACATTTCAGGCTTTTCAAAAGGGGCTGAAAAAAAATTATATCCCCGCTTTTGTTAATCAATGAAGTAGAACTCCCCCGAACAAAAGAATTAAATTGCTTGGTTGGGTTAATAAAACACACAGAAATAGCTGCTTCCTGTGGGCTTTTGTGCCTGCCACTGGCTCCCCCACATATGCAACCAGCACTGTAATTCCATATGATTTGAGGAGCAAAAACTCTTATTGCTCCACACAGTTGGCTTTTTAAATCCTATTGAGTGTGCAGCCCGTGAGGCTGGTTGGCTGGCTGATTGGGACCTTTTTGCTTGAGCCCGGCTGCCTGGCTAGCAGAGCAAACCCTCTCTCTCCGTTTAAGGCCGGCTTCCACCCAGAAGAGACGGCGAGTCCACTACAATTTACAATTTCTATACTGCCTCKGAAAAACATTGTAATTATGCAAATGATAGGGGCAATAATTAGGCCCCTCTGCTGTCTCATTGTGTCAGCTGCCGTCGCGTTTTCGGTCCGACGGTAGGAGAAAACGCAGCAGGACGCATTCGGGTTGATGGCGCTCCTCGCAGACAGTCTGCAGATGTGCACATCATCATCATCGCCCCACAGTGGGGTGCCTCTGTATAAAACAATGCGATGGTAGACAAGAGCTGCAAAGAGGGCTGCGTGCCATGGCAGCAGAGGCCTKTTGGTGTGTGACGCACACTCATGTACACATTCTGCTTTGCAAAAATACTCTACCTGTATGGTGATGAGGATCAACCAGGTCTGAGATCCAAGCTTTTTCAGGATGTGCATTTTTTTCTTTCTCTAAGATACATGGGATTAGTAGGACCTTATATAGTAGGACCTTATAAATATAATAACTAGACTCTGTCATGGTACAGGAAGTGATTTTTGCAAAAAAAAAAATGTCCTCATATAAGGACACTGGGTCTCAAAATGTCACATTTTGAAGACTACCTAAGCAATTACCAGGCAAAACCTGAGAAACTTCATGATGGCCTTTCTGATGGTTCCATTTTCCAAGTTATTCTGACTGTACAGTAGCCAGCTGTTGACCAGAGCAAGATTAGTRAAGTGCATCATCATCATCATYAGCTGYGTTTCCATTGCAAATGTGCGCAAAACTTTGTCGATATTCTGTTAATGTTGAAAAAACACAGTTTCGCAACTGCGGTGTTTAACTGCGGTGATTAAGTAAGAAATGCTATTAAAGTCACGTGAATACGTTTGTTCTCGCGATAAGTTATTACAAACATGGCGGCGATGGATGTAAACACATAGCATGTTGCTACCACGACACTAGCGCTCATCATCAGAGGAGACGTCGGCRTCTTTTATCGAGGCTTTCCAGAGACAAGTCTCTACTTGGGAGCGGCTACGTATGCTGTGTTTTTGGGGAATTGTAGTCGGTGAGTTTACTAWTTTATACTACTTCTGTGATATTACTACTACTTCTACTTCCTATTATCTTCTTCTTAGTCGTCTTTTTCGCCAGTAGAAACAGACGGTTGTTGATCACGTGACTCCCGTGATGCGAAAAAAGCGTTTCTATTGCAGTTTTGCGAAAAACACCAATTTCGATACGGCCGAAATACCACCTCATCCTAGCGCAAAAACATTTTGTCGAAAAACTTTTTTTTTCGAAATTGATGTGTTTCCATTGAGCAAATTTATTTTTGAAATTCTAATTTGCACATTTTCATGGTCAATGGAAACGCAGCTACAAACAGCTATCAGATTGCTCTTCAGTTTGAAGAACATATTACATGACATAATGACCTGAAATCACAGATAATTTATTGGTTGAACAAACTGACCACTTGTAAGAACTATTTATGCCTGTGAACTGTTCTAAATATTTCCAGATTTGTCTAACAAAAATTTGTGACCAAATATATCACCTTCACTAACTATTTACTTTTGTAAACTCTTCTAAATATGCACAGGTTTATCCAGCATCATGGCACAATTAATAACATTATAGTCCCAGTGTCCTCAAGTGAGTACTTTATCTTTACCGATATTGTACTTTGCTTCAATTGTAAAAAGATGTTATGATTGGATGTCTTATGAAGCTAAAGATGTATCTGTGTATAAATACACTGGTTTCAAGCGTGAAATGTAACTTGGATTTTTACCTTGGCCATTTTTCTTACCAGAGTTGCTGTAGAAGCTTTTTACTGGGATCCCCGCCATCTTGTTTTCACTCAAATGGATGTAATGTTGTCATTGGACCACTAGAGAGTGCTGGTAGTGCCCATTAATGAGGTCAAGGGGTTAAAGTTGAAAAAAATGATGCATCATGGGTAGAGAGGCAAAAATGCAATGTCCACATATGAGGACACAGGGTCTCAGGAGGTTCATTTGTTGGGAGAGTCCACTTTTTTTCATTAAAGTTTATTCAACAGGGACAATGTGCAAATTAAACATTAACTGCTACTTTTGTCAGTTTCAAATTATTTCAGCGACCAGTGTGGGCTTTTCAGTCATTACCTATCAACATTTTTGTCCACGTGTGTGAAGGACCACATGTCAACTTAAATCTCCAGCTCTGAGTTTCATGAGAAAATAACTGCAGAGAACAAAGGTCACAAACAAGTCTCCCCCCCCCACACACACACACACACACACAAACACAAACACACACGTTTAACAGGTCCAGTGTGTAAAGAGTTGGCCTAAGATTTACCTGAGGTCACTGCGACTAGTAAAATAGAAGATAAGATCCATCCATCCAGGTCCATAAGGAAAACCCACATCACGTCTCCTCCAGGGGGATCCCAATGCTTTCTGGGGGTCTCCTCCAAGACATGACTGGAAAACCCACAAGGAGAGGAGGCAAAACAGTGATCCTCATGATTAAAGTCTTGTCCCACCCGTGATTGAATGACTAGAATTGGCCAATCAGTTCCGACCTGAAAGTGAAAGTAGACAAACTGAATTTTTAATAGACCAAAATACAGTTTCAAATAGGGCTGTCACAAACTATTATTTTTATAATTGATTAATCACCGATTATTTTTTCGATTAGTCTACTAATCGGATCATACATTAATTGAATATAAAACACACAGCTTATCGTGCCAGAATGCAGCTGCTATTATATAACCATGGTTAGATTTTAGCTATATGCTAACTAAAAATAATTGCTGTGGAAGGTAAGTTCTGCTCTGCAGATATTACACAGGTTTCTCTTTCATTTTCTTAAAATGATCCCACACTTTTCAGCTCCATTGCCAGGTAGCCATGATACCAGAGCCTGTCTGTATAATGTCTTGTGACGTCCACGGCCTACCCCAGTTACCACTACTGCGCATGTGTGTCAAGGACAGAAAGGTAGATGTGGCAGTGGAAGGTGTCAAAGCAGTTTGTTGAGAAAAACAAAGTAAAGAACAAAAAAAGAAAATGATTAATTGATTATTAAATTAGTCATCGATTATTTTAATAATCGATTAGTCGTCGACCAATCGACTAATCGTGGCAGCCCTAGTTTCAAAGCAAATTAATTCAAATTCAAAACTTTAAATTCAGTTTCAATTTAGTAAAATTCTTTTTCAAACCAGTGCATTTAATTTCAAAGTCAAAAATTCAAATTCAATTCTGCTGGCACAACATTTATCACATACACAGCTGTGTGGCCAATCCACTTATTCCAGATTTGGAAATGGGGGGGAATGGTTATAAAGTATTTTAACTTCAGAAATACTAGTTACAAAAAATGACTAGTTAAAAATTCAGTTTAATAGCTTTAGAGACTAGGCTTGTGAATTTACTCCAAACAAGAGCAGCACTTAATTTAATTTGGGTTAGAGTTAGAAGTTTTGCTAATGTTAGAAAACAACAGAGTAAGACACAAAGTCAGCTGTTTGTGCATGATAAGGAGGAAATACTTAATATTTTAGAAACCATACACTGAAAGTTGAAGTCCACTGTCCCAGAAGGTGCCGCACAGTTTTGTTTCATATTTGTTGTCCCTCCAGCTCGAAGACGCGTGGTGGCATTTTACGACACTTCTCTCCATTTCCGGCATAAACAGAGCTGAGCGCCTGAGCCGCAGCACGAGAGGTCAAAAGTTATGGTCCTGTCCTGTAACACGAACCGAACATAATACAGAGACATGGTAAGTCTCACCTGTTATTAAATATCAAGCGAGATGAATATTAAAGACGTGTCTGCGTGCTCAAATGTCCGATAGAAAACCGGAAACATTCATTCTTAGCGGCTAAGCTAGCATTAGCTTCTATCTCTGGTGTCTGGCACAGGGCATATCAAAACAAGCTGGTTTGTTTATTTGCTTAGCCTCAGCCACCACTGTTTGAAATGCTTTTTGTTTGTGTTTCAGGCCAGCACCATGGTGGCAGCGGGCCTGGCTCTGGCAGCAGCTGGTTTCGCAGGTGAGATGTTGTAAAATCCCWGTGAAACAAATGAATCAGGAACACAGTTTTCTCAGAAATACAAAAGAACTATGACAAAATAGAAGGGAAAAATGGAATCTACACATTAAAATGAACATTATTTATTACAGACAGAAAGGTGCTGGACTTTCATCCGCCTGCCTTTCATTTAAACTGAATAATAGTTGAGTAATCACCTGTTTTAAGTGAGCAAGTAGGACCCCATCAACACTTCCACCTTCTGTGGCTGACCTGAAWAAAACTCAGTACAATTCAGATCGTAATATTTATTCCTAAGGGGCGATTTGAAGGCACAGAAAGATAAAAGTCAGAAAAAAAGTCACTGCCTACTTCTGCATACTCACTGTATTTGWATGAAGCTTCAGTTTCACATTGTAAAACTCCACAGTAACTATAAAGGATGATTAAAATAAATATTAATCATAACTGACTGAATGCCAGTAAAGCTACCCATATCTCGGTGGGGAGGGACAAATATAAAAAGATGGATAGCTGAGTTTGTGTTGCTTTATTTTCCTTATATTCACCCAGATTTTTTATTTTTTTATTATTTTTTTTACTACCAGGCCGTTACGCCATGCAGGCCATGAAACAGATGGAGCCTCAAATGAAGCAGGCCTTTCAGATTTTGCCGAAGACGGTAAGAAGGAAAAGTTGTGTAACATGTCCTTAAAGCTTTTAAAGCAAACAGATGTGTTCTGATCTGTACATTTAGTAGAGCTGGGCGGTATGACCCAAATTTTATATCACGGTATTTACAACAATTACACCGGTTTCACGGTATTTGACGGTATTTTTTTTCCTCACAGGTCAGCTGATAATAAAATGCACAAACTTTGCTTATTGACTTTTTTCTTTTATCACTGTTTCCCTCCTCTTGTACGTCTTTTCTTCTTTGCCTGGTTGTAGACAGTAATCATGCATTTTGGTCCGATCGTAAAGGGTTGAGAAAAAATCATTATCTGGTCTATCGTTATGTCTTAATAAAACACGTTAATAAAATAAGGACGACTCACATTGCACACCAGTCAACTCCGCTAAACTACAAAGCTACTTCCCCCTGGGCTTTTCACAATAGAAGCATGCTAGAGTCTCCATGCAATAATGTCTCCATTATAACGTAGCGCGTTAAATCTAACCGTGCACGTCACTGAAGAGTTGTTTACTACATTCAGCGATGGTGAAAACGGGATGGGTTTTTTTTTTACGTCAGACCATATAAGTGGCTGAAACACACCACCCGCCACCAGTTGTTCCAACAATAACGTTAGCATGCTAATGCGCTTAGCGGTGCTGCAACGAAATGTGTCCCCAGGGAAACAGCTCACTGGCGGCTGCGATGAAACGTTCCGCACGTGTTCAGGTTATACCGGTATTCAGAAAAGTCATAACAAAAATAAAAACCGGTTTTCGGTACAAAACGGTATACCACCCAGCACTAACATTTAGTCTGCGTTTTATTTATTTATTTGCTTATTTTTGCTGTTACAGGCCTTTGGAGGCGGGTACTATCGGGGCGGATTTGAACCAAAGATGACAAAAAGAGAAGCTGCTCTTATTTTAGGTGTCAGGTATGTCTGCCTGTCWCACCTGTAGCTCTTCAGAGGTGTTCGTCAGTTTCTAACAAGCTTGTGTTGAATATTCAGAGTCTGATATGCAGTGTCAGTATAAACCTTTTGTGGAGCAGATTTTCAAGCTCTGTAAGCCCACATCCAAACTGAGAATTACTCTTCTTCTGCTTTTCAGTCCCACAGCCAACAAGACCAAGATTAGAGAGGCCCACAGAAAACTGATGATCCTGAACCATCCAGATAGAGGTAAACAGTGCTGGACAAAGTACTCAACTCTAGTACTTTGTACTCAATYACAAGTAAAAATTACTCCGTCAAAAATCTACTCAAGTTAAAGTACTGATACTTTTGAAAATATTTAAGTATTCAAAAGTACAAATTAAATTGTCTAATGTCAGTACATTGCTGTATTGTTTTCAGAGTGGTTTTAAAGAACCTTGTAACTCAGAAATCACCTGATGTATCGACACGTAGAACCACTGCTACAAATTCACCTCCTGTAAAGACTTCAGCATAAAAATGCAATAAAGTGAGGTCTTAACTGCAGARATGTAGTTTATCCGCAGTGAACGCAAAGAYGTTTAAACTGATAGGGACTATTTTTCAGTCCTAAAATCTCAAACATCGAGCTGAGATATGATCATAGCTGGTTTCTCTATTCTCTTCAACCGTCTCCATTGCTGGTTCTGTTTGAAATGTAGGTGGAGCTCAGGCTCAGTCGTTAATGAAGATTATGTAATTCCAAATCTGTCCCAGTTGTGAGCTACAACTGCGACTGGTTCCCCTTGTGAGGAATATAAAGTGTGGCCAATTACATTTCAAKAAAAAWAACAGCAACAGCTGATTACTAAACTATACTGAACCAAAAGGAAAGAGTGACTACAAGCTTCCTACTAATAGCTTTGAAAATGTAAAAAGAAATACAATAATAGTAGTCGTAGTATATAAATATTAGTGAAATCATCTTGAACCACACTCCATACCAGTAGGTGGCGGTAATGCATACCTTCAGTTTATTGCCAACCGCCATTAAACASCACAAGAAGAAGAAGAAGCATCCTACAAATGTAGTGGAGTCAAAAGTACAATATTTGTCTTTGAAATGCAGTGGTGAAAGTCATAGTTCCCAAAAAAAATAATTACTTAAGATACTCAAATGTACTTAAGTACAGTACTCAAGTAAATGTACTCTCATACTGTCCACCACTGAAGGTCAGGTAAACTTTGTTTCTGTACAAATTATACTTTTTACTTTTCTCCCAAGTAAAAAGTATTTCCATTAGTCTAAAACCTCATTTTTGCTTTGTTTTATCTCAAGTAAAATATTGACTTCTAACTTTCATTGTCTGATGCCTTGACTTTTCAGAATTATGTTTTGTATAGTGGTATTAATTTATATTTTCAGATCTTCCAAGGTGCCAGTTATGGAACTCTCTGTGCATTGYTGCCCAAATCAAATTCTGGAAGTGGTCATTCAACTAGATCTGTTACAAAAGGACAACTGATATTACCAACTTTTAAAAACTGTTACGACCAGAGGTCTTTCTTCTATGTTTATACTAAAGCATGGAATGACATTCCTCAAAACATAAAGTCCATTTCAAAACTACAGCCCTTTAAGAAGAATCTTGTCTGCCATCTGCTGGACACTTTTTGTTGTGCTCATATTTAGACGTCCTATTTTGCAAATGCTGCCTTTTTGAAATTTGGAATGCTTGTTTGTCTTTGTGTCTATGGTGTAATAATAATGATGTGATTGTGATGCTGTAATTCTGAGTGTTTTATGTGCTGCAGAACAGGCACCTGCTGTAAAACAGCAATTATGCTGAGTCAGGCTTGATTTTTAGTAATCTTTTCCTGTTAAATCAATAAATGAAATCAAATCAATCCCCCTAAAATCAAACAAATAACTTGTGACTTAATAAGCTTCTATAAACTGCTTCATTCACTATTTGACTCACCTAAACGTTTGTGTTTAGCAGTAGAAAATGTATAGATTTAATTAAGTCTACTTTCAGCTAAGACTATATCTCACAGCTACACTCCATGTTTTGCAGTCAGTTTTATTGAAATTAAAGCTGTTTCTCACTAACTAAGCTGCTCTACAATAAAAACCCATGATTTGTGTTTGGTCTGGCAGGAGGATCTCCATATATGGCAGCAAAAATAAACGAAGCGAAGGACCTCATGGACGGCCAGGCCAAGAAATAGACCTGACGATGTTAATAAAACTATTTCTTCTTCATGCTGATTTACTGGCTGATTTTTTTTTAATTATCAAATAAAATCATTGTACAAACTTGTAACAGAGGTGGTGATTTATACTGTTAATATTTTACCTGTTTTAAATATGATAGAAAAAAATTACAATTTGCCTTATACTAACAAGCTATGTTAAGCTAAGCTGGGTTATTTTTTTTTTATTATAAAGATCAAAATAACTTTCCATCTTTTTGCCAGAGTTGAAATCTTTACTTTGATTTTTAGCCRTTATCAAAAGAATTCAACAATGGCCAAGCCTAATAAAAAGTAGGTGCATGAAAAATACAAGCTTTTACCCTTGAAAAGATGAAATCTTTTTCCCACTGTGTTTTATGTATAAATGAGACATTTTAATTATAGATCTACATAGAAGATCAAGTTTATTTAAGAACTACCTGCATACAAAACATATTGCACATCAACCAACCAGACAATCCTTAAAAAAAAAAAAAAGTACAATATACTGTAGTTGACCCAACAAAAACACTTGGGATGTCACAACTGTCAGTAGTCCCAATTCCTAATTTGTCTTAAAACTCCTGGATATCTTGTTTTAGTGTCAAGAAGAGTGTTTTTTAAATACTGTACACTTTTAAAAATAAATAATCCAAATAAATCTTCCTTTAAAAGAACAGTCGTGACCAGTTTCCAGCTAGCCAGTGTGGAAGAACCATGAAAATGACATCGTTTCCTGGGCCTGCTGTTCAGAAACACCTCAACACCAGGSTTAGTCCAGTTCTCTACAGGATTTTTGCACTTGGGGGGGACATTTAGAAACTGGGTAGTAATCAGAAAGATGTCCCAAATTATTTAAATGAATATCAAAAAGAATAAAATCTGCTCAATGTTTCCCAGCGTTCAGTAATGAGATGTTTCAATAAAACCCAGCACTGACGGCTACACATCTGTCCAGCACTAAACCCTAACAGGCCAGTTTTCAGACTCAACTACAATCAGCTTTAAAACAGAAAAAAAAAGTTACACTTCAGTGCAAACAAAACAACTCTTCTTTCTTCGACACACTGTAATAACATCTCTATGACCGAAGTGGTTGCATATTGAAGAACAGGAAGCAGCTAATGTCGAACTCCTTAACAGTTTTATATTCATATATTTATATAAATCCCCCCCAACATTAAGAGCAGACACACCTGATTATTTTAGAAGACGGCTCTGAAAACAAACGTTAAAAGGATTTCAGATGGGAGTGCAGAGCCAGGCAGCAACATGTTCAATCTACTCTCAAGGCACAATGTATGTTTCCAACAAACCCATCTGCACTGTGGTACAGTTCACGCAGAACGGTTACTTCAACAACCTCAGATGCATGAAACGCCTTAAAAATAATAATAATAAAAAAAAAGATCTGGAAGCCTTTTTTATTTATTTATTTTTTTTGCTGAGTCTACCTGATTTAAGGCAGACATCATTCTGAAAATCTGCTTTGATATTCTGAACCATGTAAAAAGAACTGCTGCAGTATTACCACAGTGTGTTTGTCTGCATTTCATAAATACTGTAACTCAGCCCAAACTCTCCTTGAGCTCTCACCGAAGAGTAGACTAGAAAGTACAGTTTGTGTACGTGTGTGTATATGTTTGACTATCTTTGGCAAGCTCATACCGGAAGAACTAAGTGAGGAAAAGAAAAAAAAAGATAGTAAAATGAGTAGTTGAACAGATTAATATGTAAATCTGAGATAAAAGTTTCAGAACTGTAAAAGTTGTGCTGCAGAGCAGGTTTCAAATATTTGTTACATAGAAAACAAAAGAACAGTGCTTGTGTTTAAATGTTAAGATAAACTTGATGTTTTCTCCACAGACGTGGAGATTCAAACAAATGTCACGGAAGAAATCCAAATATTTGAAACCAGTTTCTTTGCCCTGGTGTGTTTAGGACAGTCCGTTGAGGACAGGCTGTGGGCTCGAGACTTCGGCCGGCTTGTCGGCGGAGGATCTGGGAGCTTTTGTGGCACTGCTGCTGGAGGTATCAGAAACCCCATTATTAGAACCATTGGTTGTTGGTGGAACCGACTGTGGACTGTGTTCATCAATCACCTCCACCTGACCCTGAACACAGAGGGAATAAAAGATGTAGAAAAAATAAAATAAAATAAAAACATTCAGGGGCAAGGGTAGAAGCAATCAACCTGACAGGGCAGTGTCTGGAATTTAATGTGGAAAAATCCTATTTTCTCTCTTTTGTTGTCCTTTAACTTTACCAAGGGGGAGAAAATCTAGTTAGGGGGTCTCTGCAGTCACTAAGTCGGATTTTCTTATTTTGTGGGAGGAGTTTACCCAAGACGCTACTGATCAGACTGACGGTAGGGTGTGAAGAAGCTGGGGGCAGCTGGGAGGAGCCTATATTTATTTAAATATAGATATTAAAATTACACGTAACTCGAGGCAGGAAGGAGCTAGCTGCACAAAATTTAAAGTCAATAAATTACATTTACATGTTCACGCTAATTTTTTTTGAATGACTGTTCTGTTTTAAACTGTACATAGACCAGGGCTATTCAACTAGTGGCTCGCAGGCTAAGTCAGGCCCACTGGTCACCAAAATCTGGCCCGCCAATGGGTTCATTAATCTCTTAAGCTCAAACTCACGGTTTTCAACTTTCATTCCTATGAGGTTTTTTTTTAAGTTATACATAGGCTACATTCGCACTGCAGGCAAATRCRACCCATATCTGATTTTTTTATGACAGTCTGAACACGACAAATCCGATTTTTTCTAATCAGACCCAGGCCGTTTCAGTATGTGGTTTTAAATCGGATATATATCTGATGTTTTCAAAGTGACTGCAGTGTGAACACTCATGTCACATTCCATCTGACTTTTTCATCAGTGAGGAGGCGAAGGATCGATAAGACACTAACCTGAAGTTACACTGTTTAAATCTGTAGCTTTCATGTGTTTACAGCTCCAAAACACAAGTCCAGTTGCTTCATCTTTTTACTTTTCATTTTCCATGTAGATACTAGAATGGTAGTAACCTCCAGCCTGGGTTGTGGAGCGTATCGATCCTGAAGTTACTTGGTCGATACTTTATTTTCAGCTCGCTGCTTTGTTCCAAAAATAAAATGCTTCACCGGAGCATCCGGTCAGAGGCAGGTTCAGATATAAACACTGAACTAAACAAGAGGGTCAGATAATTATTTACTGTATTTTTCGGACTATAAGCCGCGACTTTTTTCCTGAACTTTGAACTATGCGGCTTATAGACCGGTGCGGCTTATACATGGATTTTTTTCTTCAGCCACCAGGGGGCTCTTATGCTCCATTTGCTTCAACCACTCGCTTCAAAAAAAGAAAGGAAAAAAAAAAGAAAAAAGCGATCGCTTCCAGAGCCGACTGTTGACCAGGAAGCAGCGATTTAAAGATAGTCAATGGCCAAAAACTCATAAAAGGGGATAAAACAGACATTTTTCACAGTGGAATCTGACTGATAAAAACTTTGGAGCTTAATCCAGGACCAGTTTGTGGATAAACGTCGAGTGAAGAGCTGCTGACCTTTTTTTTTCCTCGTTGCACTCCCCGGGGAAGGAATCCCATGCAGTGACGTATGCTGGAGCGGGAGGGCTTTCCCACCACAGCTTCAGAGCCAGCATTACCCCGGGAGGACAGCGACACAGAAAGCAAAACTGAACAGATACCGCTGTGTGACGCAGCTTTTCTCAGCTTGTTTAACTCCGACACTGAACAGATACCGCTGTGTGACGCAGCTTTTCTCAGCTTGTTTAACTCCGACACTGAAGAGGAGGACTTTGATGGTTTCAGTGCGCCGGAGGACGATAAATGAGACGTTTTGTTGGACCAGAAACTGTTAAAGAAAACTACCAAAATAAGGTCAGTTAAATGAACCGTATTCCTCCGAACTTTAATTCCTAAAGGTTTGCTTTTTATGTTTTGATGTTGAACTCACTTTTTTGACGGCAAATTTGGGTGTACTGTTTTTTTTATATTGGGGGTGCGGCTTATTGTCCGGTGCGGCTTATATATGTTCGCGGATTTTTTTTTAAAAAATGGTGGGTGCGGCTTATAGTCCGAAAAATACGGTAATCCTCTCTGATTAAACTACTTTAGATTCGACGTGCTAAAAGTAGCATCCATGCTAGCTCTACAGTCGGCTGAATGAGACGTCTTTTACTGCACATACTTTTATTACATTTGGTTCTGTATGTTGTGTTAATGATTAAATGTAGCAAAATAAACAAATTCAAAAGGTAACAGATCTTTGTAATACTTGGTTTATATACATAAATACATAAATTATTTACATAATGACTTTAATTGCTGGACATTCGGCCCCTCAGCTGTTGGCCTGCGGTAACTGTGGCCCCTGGAGCAGTTTAGTTCAATCATATTATTTTACTATTACCATTACTTCCTCTGTTAACTTGTCCCACAAGAAAAGTCAATCCAACCAATCAGGGTTGGGACAAACTCCGCCCACACATCAACTCTGCCAATCATGGTTAGGGCAAACTATCTACAGAACAACATGTACTGCAGAGACCCCTACTTGGAAAATAGGGGTTACCTTCATGATCTGCTTAAAATACTAATTTTTAAATTTTGTTTTCTACAATCTACTGAATACTGAATATATTTATATATATACAGTATATATTATTTATGCTATTTTAACTCCTTAAGAGCCTTTAATTTAAAGAAAAACACAAAAAAACATTTTTTTTATTCAAAAATATGGCACTTTAGTACATCAAAAAGAAGTTTTTGACCAAAACCGAAAACATCACCTGATTAGTTAACACGGGAACATTTCAGTACTGACCACATCTTTGTTCTTCTTGGTGTCCTTGGCCATCATCTGTCTGCTCTGAGACTCAGCTCTGGATATGTAGTCCGCCACAGTTACTGCACAAACATGGAAGCAGAAAACAAAGCCTTTGTTAATGTAACGGGACAGCTCCAATAAACACTAAACAAGTCTGACTTTCAATTTGTGTCAGTTACTAGAATAGTGGAACTTGCAATGTTAGGCATTTCACACCTGTGTACACGTCAGAGAGAAAAAAAAAGGAAGTGTGTTTTGTAAGATTATAGGAAGCCACAAAATAAAGTATTTTAGGCTTACAAAAATGTTACAGTTAAGTTTACAATGATCAAAAAAAAAACAAAGTCAGACTTTAGGCTAGGTAATTAGTGAATAAAGTTTAAATCTGTCCATTAAAACAGTAAAATGAAGAAAACAGATGCATATTCACTGTATGCATGTGTGTGTTTACTTTGTTAGAAACTGGTTTACAGTATTAGAACGACATTTCCCAGAACAGTCACAAACCTATTTTTGATTTTTCAAGAAAACAAAAACAAGCAACATATTCATGCTGGTTAATTCCATTTGCTTTTTATTTCTATTTATATGTTTTCGGTGCCACACAAACATGAGGAACAGGTGCACAACTTTTCAGCTGAGCCACTGAAGCGATAACCTGGTGAGAGCACACGAGCAGGTGATGTCGGGTTACCTGGCTGCCTCTCCTCTGGCAGGCGGTTACGGCGACGTCGGCTACGATTGCGACGCTGAGGTTTTGCTTCAGAGCGCTCTAGGAATGTTAGGTTGTTACAAACAGAAGGATTTGTGCCTTCAGTATGCTTTTGTCTGTAAACTGATGTCACTACTCTTTTTTATACACTGAAATGGGAAATGGTGCACTGCTGCACAATCCTGAAAACTTTAACCTTTTTTTTTTGTTTCGTGTACAATTATTTTTTTGCTAAGTCCTCAACAGTCATTGCACTTTGGTTTTAAGCTTTTTTTAAGTTCTTTTAAAACCTTTGCTTTTACTGTCACTTGTATGTTTATAACTGTAAAAGATTTTGTTTCCATCCACATCAAGTTTTTGAGTGTAAACATCTCTTCATAATAAAAGGACTTCATGTTTCATACCTGTCCCGTTTTCGCTCACTGAGGCGTTGTCGGACTCGCTCATGCCATCGATCAGCGTGGCGTCCTCGTCGGTTCTGCGTCTCCGCGACCTCCTGCGGCGGTTTGCTGGCAAGTTGGACTCGCTGGCGTCTGTATCGGCCGTCTGGTCGGTCTCTGTGTTCGCCTCCATCGTTCCGTACGGGTGGTAGTTCTCCTGATCCCGAGGGGCTGCAGCAGAATGACGTCATCGTTTCAGAGGCAGCAGGATGTGATTAGATGAGGATTTCAACAGAAAAGGTGTCGCCTGGTTTCACTCGACACTGAAAGCTGAACTTTACCGTAGCTGTTGCTGTATCCTCCTCTTCCTCCTCTACCTCTTCCTCCAGGCCCTCCTCGGCCTCTGCCAGGTCCTGGTCTTCTACGGCCATCTCTTTGTGGTCTAGAGCCTCGCTCTCTTTCCCTGCGAGTCCAATAAAGCCAATATGAAACATGCTGCAAAAACCTAATCAATTACTGTCAATTTACCTAAAAAAAACATCTTGCAGTCCTTTAGGTTTAAATTAGGACTGCAGCTATTGATTATTTTAGTAATTGATTAAGCTATCAATTATTCTGTTGATTAATCTAGTAATTGGATATAAAAATTGTTATGTTCTGCTGTAATTAAGCTTATTTTATGAGAAATACAATTATTTAATATTGTGAAGGAGTAATCTACACTTGCTGACGACCCTGCTGCACTCAAAATAAAATTACTGAACCAGTTGTGTTTATTTCATGCATTTTAAGCTTATATGTGCGGTTTGAGGGGGCATTCTGTCACTGAATGATTTTTAACCACCACAGAAAAAACTTAACACTGTAAATTTATTTTTATGGATTGAAGAAACTGAATGTGATATTTTTGGAACAAACTGAGTAAGTAAAATGCGTAATATAAAATGTGGGTGTTGCAGATTGAGTTTTAGAGAGTTCACTTGTTATTGTTAATAGTAAAAATAAATTCATATTTTGACTACGACTTATTAGGTTGGAGCAGGGTTCCCATTTTTGGCAGTAAAGTATTAACTCGACTGGTTAGCTAAATAAATATGACAGCAGTAATAAATGAAGGCTAATAACAGGTTTCAAAGTCATAAAAAGCAGCAGCAAAAATTAATAAAAAATTAATTCCTAATATTTTCTGTAAATACTTTTAAACTTGATATCTCATGTAATTTAAAATAGAAGCATATTAACAAATAAATGTTTCAGCTCAAACTGTCAACCTGTTGCTGTGTTTTTCTCTTTATTTGACACACTTACAGTAAGTGTTGTTTTTAATCACACAACTTATTCACTGTTAAATAAAATCTGCCAGGTAGCCACTACGATTGGTCAGCACAAGTAACGTTAGCCAAAATATACCTCCTTGTACATGTGGAACATAGATTATCACAGATTCAGGGAAACATATTTTACAAAGGAAACGTAAACAAATACCCGTTGTTACATGCATCAGCTGTTTTCATTCCGGTTCAAAAACCTCAAGGATGTTGTCATCTTTTTGTTTAGTTTTAAATGATCCAAACTTTTTACAATCTCTGTCACTTTCTGAGCTCTCTGTCTCCTTCTATAGCCAAATATAGAGCTTAGCATACACGCGTCAACAGTGTAACCGTTAGCAGAAGCGCTAACGCAGCGTTGTTGTGTAACATAAATAACATTCCAGCCCAACAAAAGTGTGCTGATTATAAAAGTATCTATTTTTTATAAACAAGGTTCCTACAGCTTAAGGCAAGTAAAATTTAAGACTTAAAGACCTGATTAATGCCTCTTGAAATGAAATTTAAGACGGACTTCACAATGAACACAAATGGAAAAAACCCAGTTAGCAACAATTTTAGCCAAATGTTAATTTTAAAACAAAGCGAGCTGTAAGAGGCATTCAGTCAATTATTTAAAAAACAAATAAACATTACCAATTATTGTAATATTTGAGATGAATTATTCATCCTACGTATAATGTGTTAACATTTTTAAGACCTATGAAAGATTGATTTAAGACCATTAAGGCTAATTAAGGCCTTATTTTTGGGTTGATAAATTCAATGCCTTTTAAGACTTTTTAAGGATCCGCAGGAACCCTGACAAAGTTTTGAGGCAGATAATTTCCCTCAGGGATTTTTAGAAATCAAATTACATGAGGAATTGTTTCAGCCCTAATTTAAATAGAAAGCAGGGTTCCCACACCTTGGTCAACATCAAATTCAAGGACCTTTCAAGGACTTTCCAGTACCAATTTCCTCAAATTAAAGAACCACGCGCAACGGCAATTATCTACTGCTACCACAGAATGTTACCAATAAACAGGTTTAATATCATGTAAATTTAATGAAAAACTGAACATAGAAGTTGTTGAGTCGGAAAAAATGATGTCAGTTTACCGTAATCCTGAGTTTATCCATCGCAACAAATGTAAGTTGTTTTTATTTAATTTGATAATTTATTTTTTTAAAAGATGATGAAAATCAGTCGTGCGAATAGAGAATTTCAATCCCCAAAAACATTTAAGAACTTTCAAGGACAAGTATAATTTTTGGCTGTTTTCACAAACTTTCAAGGCTTTTGAAAAAAAAATTCTAATTCACAAACTTTCAAGGACTTCAAGAACCCATGGGAACCCTGAGAAAGAATAGAAAGTGGCTCACCCATCCTGGTCCTCTCCAGCCAAGGACCAATCGCTGAGCTCCTCCTTACGCTCTGAATCAGTTTCAGAAGCATTGGACTGCTCCGAGTTGGTGCCTGAAATCAAAAAAATGCAAAAGAGAAGTTAAAAAAATAAGACGTTTTACAAAAATAGCCCATTCTGAGAGTTTTTTGGCAACATGCAAGTAGATTTCCTGTGCTTATATTGAAAAACCGCTACCATATCCAGTATTGTAGTTGTAGCCTCGGCGCCCACGACCTCGGCCGTTGTAGGAGCGACTCCCGCTGATGGAGGATGAGGCGTTGGCACCGCTGTCTGTATTGTATGCTCCTCTCTCCCCCCTATCGCCTCGATCTCCTCGCTCCCTGTCGACCGCTCGGTGACCCTGGGTGACCTGTCGCAGCTGCTCGTCGATCTGCATCCGCTCCAGACGAAGCTCCTCAACCTCCTTGGAGAGAACAAACAGAACAAGGAGGAAAAACGAGAAGAGATAAGAGAMGTGTGAGTGATTCACGTTTCTAGGCTTGCYCTGGAAATAAATAAACAAACAAAATTGAAATCAGGCAAAGCTGACATTTTGAAGGTCATCACTGGATACACATGCGTAGTTATCATACACACATCTACATCACATCCAGTGCGCCTTGTGCAGCTTATTCTGAATCTTGCTAGGCTGCCTCCCTGTGTATAATCCACAACTTTCTTCAGATCTTCCTCTAGCTGCTGGCTCTCTGCAAGAAGCTCCGCCATGTCCTACATACATCGCAAAGCAAACACCAAGCAGAAACAAGACATGCAAACAGCACAGGTCACACGTATACAAACACAGTGCAAAACACCCACAGCAGAGCAGCACAGGGATAGTTCTGAGGATTATTATAGGAATGTATAATTAATTTATTAGTAGTACATTAAACAT